CGCGGGAGAGGGATCGGGGAGGTCTCGCGGATCCGGAGGGGGGTGCAAGCGGTTTGGAAGGGTGAGGGTGCCGGCGACGGGCTTCGCCGGCGTGGAGATGGCCGGCGGCCTCCTGCGCCGGCGAGGAGAAGTCGGCGACGACAAGCTAGGGCACGGGCGGTTTTCGCGAACGGGAGAGGGGTCGGCTGTGAGGAGATGCGGAGAAGAGGGAAAAAAAAAATTTTTAAATTTTTTTTTTTTTTAACCGTTTCTTTATTTTTTGGTTTTTTTTTTTTTTTTTTTTTTTTTTTTTTTTTAAAAGAGAGGAGAGAGGAGAGAGTTACGGGGCTTTTTTAAGAAAGAAGGAAAATCTTTTTTTTTAATATTAATACTAATAATAATAATAATAATATTATTATTATTATTATTTCTCTGCATCTTTTCGTCGAATACGTCATTGCAGTGAAATGAACCTCTCCCATTGGTAAATTTGACGTTCCGGACGCAATCGCATAGTCCGTTTCGTTATTCGGGGTCGTTCGGACCTTTTTTTCAGCAATTTGGGTAAAAATAATAATTTGCGCATTTTTTTACCCGTATTCGAAGCGTTAACGACATAGATGCCCTCCTTAGATAATATCGATGTCTCAGACACATGACATTAAAAAATGATGCAAACAACTACATCACCGTCGCACATTACCTCATATTTACTTAAAAGGAAAGAAGATAAAGACATATAACATAGCTCTCATGCCATGTTTTAAATCATAAAAAAGCTGCATTTTTATTTGGTTGAATTGAATGAAATATAAAATGATGCCTGTAAATAAGCAAAAAGGAGATAACAATGAAAAGGATATATATGATAAAACTTAAAAATATTCTCATAAAACTATTCTCAATAATTAGGATATATTACCACTGCAAATTTCTACTACAAATATCACATTCATAGACTAATAATTATGTGACAGTGAAAATTTATAGGAAAATTTACATACATGCCACATAAATCTTTTTTATTTACATACCTAACACCTAAACATTGATATTTAGATTAATTTCACTTGATCAATGCATCAAAAGGTGTATTTGAGTTTTAAATACTTAAAAATAAGGGTGTTTTTTTATATATATAAAAAGATTAGAGTGTTAGAAATGCAATAAATCAAAATTTAGGTTTTAGCTATGTAAATCCATAAAAATTGTGTGGTATATTTCTTAGGGTGCGTTTGGGGCGATGGTAGGTACCGGTGGTGTGCCGAGCCGCATGCAATTTATTTTGTTGGGCAAAACCATGTTTTACTTGTTTTTTCAAACAAATTTCGTTGAAAATTGCGTTTTACGACCTGTCCTGGCTAAATGTGACGGCTGCTAGAAAGTTGTGCCAAACATATCTGTTTAAAGAAGCAGTTGTGAAACAGCTGCAGAAGAAGCCATTGTTCAAAAAGTTGCGGGGTCTTTTAAATTTTTCTTTCTTTTTGAAAAAACCATACATCACCTTTCTGGCACCAACTTCTGGTAGCCAAGTATGATGTGGAAACTTAGTTTTTAGCTGCAGTTTTTTGGATAATACAATTAAAACACATATTTGCCAAACAGAAAAAAATTATGATGTGCCACCGCACCATTGCCCTAAACATAGGGCTGTAAACGAGCAGAGCCTGAGCGAGCTCAGGGTCAGCTTGTGTTTGGTTCGTGTTCGAAATCGGCTCGTGAACAGTGTATTCGTGTTCGACTCGAATAATATTTTATTGCTCATGTTCGGCTCTTGTTCGGCTCAAAATTGGCTCATTAGAATATATACTTATTAAAATAATATTTAATTTTTTTATATAAAATAAGAATTTTATGTAAATTTTTTTAAGAGCAAAATTTAGACAAAAACCCAAGATATTTATTAACTAAATTTTTTTTGAAATTTATAATATTTAATTCAATGAATATTTATTATGTATGTATCTATTTTTGAACCAATTCAAGCCGAACACGAGCGAAAGTACTGTTGTTCGTGTTCGGCACATTTGGCTTAACGAACGAGCCGAACACAAGCTGCTTAAAAAGTCGAACACAAGTTATCTACGAACAACGAGCCAAATTGACATCTCTACCGAAACACACCCTAAATCCCCCATAACTTTAATATCCTCACTAAAATAAAGTTTGTGACATTACCTATTGTATTTTTATTGTCATATGGACTTAAGTTTGGGGCAAGGGCCCGTCGTTTGAATGTATTGATCTAGAAATTTGTAGGGCATGAACACTTCTTATCTAAGTTTTAAGCTAATAATGCACAATATACTTCAACATTTTTCTGTGATCCTTCGTTTTATAATATATATAATTAAAATGCAAATATTAGATAAATGATGCAAATTATGTAATTTTTAAACGCAAAAATTTCTAAATAAGGTTTATCAACTAACCAAATAACAGAAGCCTTTATGATATTATATCTCTCAAAGTTAGAATCCTCATATTGAGGGTTTGTTTGCAATACCTATAACTTCTTGAATAAATATTTGTGAAGCTGCTGTCAGGAGAAGCTGCTGTGAAGCTGTTATCATGAGATGCTGCTGTGAAGTTGCTGCTAGGAGAAACAGTTGCAGTTTGTTTGGATATTCCAGTTGTGAAATTGTTGTGCTACAGTGGTTACTGAATAAAAGATTATTTTGCCCATGCAGAATGTATTTGTTAGAGCATATTAGCAGAACTAGTTTAAATTGAACACCAGAAATAAATCTTCAAAATATTACAAAAAATTCAAAGTCTAAAATGTTACATTATAAATCGTACATCACTTGACATTTATGAATTACATAAAAATTGAAAATAAAATAAGAACAAGTAAAGTCATTATAATAGTAGTCTTCATATCGAAAGAATCAAACCTATGGGAGAATTTCTTTCTCAAAGCCACTCTCCATGTATTGTCGTTTTCTGAAGTAGATTTCACACAACCCATCTAAAAAAATCATAGGCATAGAATATCATTTGTCTTTTACAATTATAAAATATTCTCCCAAAACTAGCTTCTCATCTAGACCTATATACAAAGCATTGTAAATAGTAATGGTAATGCACAATTCTTGTGACACTAGAATTTCTTAAACTCATAGTTTCTAATAATACATATTTTAAGCTCAGAGCAATTAGAAAAAAACAAAAACATAAGACGTAAAGCAACTATAATATTATTCTTAAATAATAATCTAGGCCCAGAGCCAATAAACATGCTATTAATAATAAAAAACTCTACCCACGATTACCCAGTTGGCCATCTGAGCGGGAGCCATCAAAGCATGTTCATAGTTCAATAAAATAAAAGCAAGAAAATTTTTATTAATTAAATATGTATTGCAACAACTAAAATAGTTTTACTCTACTCAATAAAAGAAAAAAAAAACCAAAAGACATCCCAAAAGCCACTCAACATATTCCATCAACAAATCAGATTACCGAAACATTGCAATATGGATTGTTTGAATGGATGTTTGAACAGGCTTTCAAAGCGTAAGAACACAAATAAAACATATAGAGTATAAGTTACATAAACAAAAAAAAAACTAATTGTTCGAATAAATGTTCAACATATTACAAAAAAATTTAAGCATAAATAAAAAATATAGAGTTCACATGGACTGATTGTTTAAGAAAGAACAGAGGTAATGAATTCTATGCTACAGCATCATCACGATAAAAACCTCCCTCTTCATTGGGTCTTCAGCATCATTCCATTGTTTCTTAGTTTTTTTTAGTTGTTCTCATTTGCTATTCAGTTGAGTTTTATCATACAATAAACTTATTTTTTCATAGGCATTTTTTATGTTTTTCCAACTCTCTTTATTAAAATGTGTCGTTAGTCTGTTGTCTAATTCAGTCTCTTTTAAGCACGAAATGATAGAAAATAATCTTCACCTCCTTCTTCCAAATGATCGATATACCACCTGCTTTTAATTTTCTCATATGTTGTGCTAAGAATATAAAAAAGTTGGAAAAATTAACAAATTAAGCTTAAAAGCAAGAACTAGTAAAAAAATTTATATAAATTTAAATAAGACAAGCATCCAAAGTATGGCTCGGTGAGATCCTTTTGTTAAAGATTGTCCCCTTCAGGACCGACAACTACATTTGATTATTATATATGTATAGAAACATGAGTTATAAGACCATAT